CATCACCATTACCATCGAGAGTTCGCGCTCGCGCGTTCTCCCGCGAAGAAGAGAGAGAAAGAGAGAGAGAGAGAGAGAGAGAGAGAGAGAGAAGTTTTCGTGCTACCGCAGAACCACCTGCGTAAGAGCCAAGAAACCCCCTTGAAATCGTCCTCCGAGAGTGTCCTTCTCTCCCTCTCCTACTCCTTACTCTTCTCCCTCTCCTTACTCTTCCTCCTCCTTCTTTCCTGGTGACTCACTCGCTTGGTTTCGCACGTGCGAAAGCGTTCACCGTATAGCTTTTAATAGTAGATACTACGCAAGGATTAACCCTTTTCTCACCTCGAACATTTCAAAGTTAGACATTTAAAGCAACGATTTTAACATAAATTAATAGAATGGTATTATAATATAGCGTATGGTGTCTCAACGCTGAGGTTAATCGGTCATTAATCGTTGGTACGATTTCATGCCGTCTGACACGTATTTATTCTAACGGGAGAATCGCTAATAGTATGTACTAGCCTCCTAGCTCGTTGCATCGGCACCGGTAATAGCACACCGGTAATAGCGGACAGGTACAGTTATGCATATAATACGAGCGTATATACGTACGTACAAGGATCACGGCCGTGTCCGGCGGATACGCATTTTCAAAGATCCTACACAATCTTTCTATTCACGATTGTTCGTTCGTTCCTTTATTCCTTTTCATTCCTATGACCCTTCTCAAATGCAAATCTTTCATCGAAATCCTTAATAATTTGATTGGAGATAAATAGACGATAGATATGTAAGTAGTAATAATAATACATCAGGTATAAGATAGACGTAGGTTATATATATAGATATATATACGATTGTACGCGGAAGTCGAGGAAACACAAACGGCGTGGCCTTTGATGTCTCTTCGTGAAGCATTAATGAAGATTCGCTTTCACCGATATCGTCATTGCCGAGCTAACCGAACGTGCTTTCTTACTCAACAATATTCTTAACTTTGCGCGGATCGGAGAAACCATTCGTAGAGAGACCTTTTATTTCCAACCATCTCTTTTCTTACCTTTCTAAAGCAAACATTAAAACGTTCGAGTATCTCTCCAAATTTCGTTCAATAAGATAGAAAATAAAAGTAGGCCGAATAAAATTGAATCATTTTATTGATCGATCACGGTGAGTATTTAATTGGTACTCGATTGAATAATTCAGCAAAGTTAAAGTTGTCCCGCGTGCATATCGTTCATCACCGATCCTTAAAAGATTCTCATCAAACGACAGAGAATATCATTCGAATTGTCCTTTTAATGATCGACTCGACAACCACCAAGTGTCCCCCCATGAATACGTTCGATGTTCACCGTTATTTGATCTAAATTAATATCAATCGTAGGTAGTAGATTGGATCGAACTTTTTCGGACCTTCGAGAGGTGCGCGCACGACCTCGACCGACTTTAAGCTTCGCATATTAATTAAAATGTATAGCAAAAGGTGCTATGCCACCGAGTCGATAAATTATCATCTTCCATAAGCCCGACGCGGCCTGCTTTTTATACGCACGCACGCATGAAAACACCTGCCAATTCTCGGCCAATGAGATCGAAAGAGGGGGAAGAAAGCATGTATACCTCTCGTTTGACGTACCGATTCTTTCACGAGACTTACTCGGAACGATTGGCCCAATGTGCGTAAAAGAAGATGAAAAAGAAGGATGAGGATGAGGAGGAGGATGAGGAGAAGGAGGAGAGAAAGAAGAAAGCGCCAAGAAGGAGGGCTTACTTGATCGTTTCGAAACGATTTTATACGGATCAGTAGATTCACGAAGTGTTACGAAGAAAGAAGAAAAAAAAAAAGAGAGAGAGAAGGAAAGAAACAATCTTTAATAATTACATGAGAAATAAAAAAAAAACCTTCGATAAAATCCAAGTTACGAAAATTATTTGATCTTGGGTAATAACTCAGAGAATATTGCGAAAAGATGCATACAGTAAAAATTCGAGAAAATTGAAGTAATACAACAATGGTCGAAAGTACGTTTCACTTTTTCGCATGATTTTCGCAGTTTTTCTCAGGATGGAAATGCACCTGACACGAGCGGAGGGGGGGGGGCCGTCAAAGATGACGAAAGTGAATTTTAAAATCGAGGTTTCGTGTTTGCGTCCTGCCAGACGATGACCTTAATATTCGTCTAACTACTTGCTCTCTTTCTTTTCCTCTTCCTCTCACTCTTACTCTCTATTTATCTCTCTCTCTCTCTCTCTCTCTTTAGTGCTACTTCGCAGAGCTCCTTTTATTCCAAGTGGGCATACCATGTAGTAGCAGTGCTTTCCTTACGACTCAGAAACATTCGTTTTTCTCGTTCTCACGATGGTTCGTTCACACGGATTTCGCGGTGAATCGAGTTCCGAGTGTGTTAAACTATTAAGTTTACGAGAGAGAGACAGAGAAAGATATATATCAAGAGGACGCCTACTTTCGGCTCATTTTTATTTTCGACACACAAGTGTCGAGCTGCCTTCGAAATCGATTTATATCACTTTTTTCAGCGTCCCTTCTTCTATTTCTCATATTCAATGTATTGTAGATATAACGGTATTGTGCGGTACAAAGCATTGTTTAAAAAATTCTCGAATTAAAGCATTACGATTTAATAGAGTAAAGGGAGGGCGGGGGGAGGGGTAAAGGAAAAAAAATATCGATTAAATTGAAGTTTAAATTCGTTCGTCGTAAAATACGATTAATACGAGAACAATTTGCGAAATGTAAACCGGGTTGACCGTTACATGTTTCACAAGAAATAAGACAAAACCGAGACACGGTGTATAGAGAGCAGCTACTCCTGTTCTTTATTATCTTTCGATGCTAGAGCTAAGTATTATGTGGGGTGTATGGTTTAGTTATTTAAAAAAAAAAAAAAACTAAAACTCGTATAAAAAGTATCGATCTTTTTCTCGCAACACGGTGATTCGGTAATCCGATTATCATTGAAGTAAAACGAAGCATGAGGAAGGAAGCCAAGGAAACGAATAAAATCCCACTAATAGGGCTCGGGAAACGTTAGAGATGATTTTCACTTTCCAGAGAGATCGTTGACCGGATATAATAATACTTTCGAATAATATAAATCTAATATTTCGCGTTAGTAAAAATAATGAAGAAGAAAAAAAAAAATGATTTCAATTACACCCATCCGCAGATATAGGTACAGATAATAGAAAGCGAAACGAAGCTGAGGTCGACGTGCATGAACTTATCCCCATTAAAAGAAACTTTGCACGGTGTAGTACCCCCCTCGAAAGAAAAAAGAAAGCAGCAGACCTCAGTGCAATGAAAGCGCGCGCGATCCTTTTTGGATCCGTTGAATTTCATGGAGAGAAAAAAAGAAAGGAAAAAAAAAAAAAATAGATATCAAATTCCGATCTAATACTCGAACCGAGGATTCGCAACACTGTTGTGTGTCTTTTTGAAAGAAAATAAAAATAAAATAAAATAGGAAGGACTCGTTTGCTACTTGTGTGAAATAAAAATTGGAAGAAAAGCTTCCCACCCCCTCGCCCTCCCCCGTCTGTCGTGAAAGGGTACTACCTCCTACTACTTTTGTGCGAGATAAAAAAATGTAAAGAGGAAAAAAAATATGAACAGATGCAGGAAGAAAGAGGGAAGAGGAGTGAGTGAGTGAGTGAAAGAAAAGAAAGTCGTTGTATTGGCGCACGCCAAGGGGGCCACACCGCCTTAAGGTTGTTGTGTTGGCTGCTGTTGGCTTTGAAAGAGGCGGCACAAAGAAAGAAGAGAAAAAGAAAAATAAAGAAAAGAAAAGAAAAGAGAGTCAGCCCAGAGTGCGTACGCGCGGAACATAACTCGCGAATAATGCGCCATTTTATACGGCACCGTGCACTCGTCGCGGTGCGAGCCGTAAGCAAATGCATTTTGCAAAGCCTGCAACGACCAACTTCCAGAAGAGGAAGTAGAAGAAGATGAAGAAGAAGAAGAGGAAGAAAAAGAAAAGATGGCTTAAGCCATGCTCTCCCCGCTTGTATGCCAAGAGAAGCGCGTTTGCAAAGCGACGACGAGCCGTCATTACGCTGGAAACACGCTCGTTAAGCTTCGCCATAGCAAAAATAGAACTTTCTTCTACTGCAAACTACCAGAGAAAGAAAGAGAGAGAGAAGAGTATTTACCAACAGAGCGGGAGAATGCATGTGCCTTGTAGATAACAAATCATACGTCATACATGCGTGACTTTTAATTTTGTTCCTCAACCCCCATCCTCCCCATTTTTCTTTTCGATTTTCTAAATAAAATACAAACTAGTCTCGTCAATTGGATATTTCGCGGATAAGAGAAGATTTTGTAGCACTGGGCGACATTAAAATCATGAATTAACGAGATCCATTTGATTAAGGAGTCGATAGTCGAACATTAACGGCCATTAAAACGTCGTTCGTCGGTCGATGCTTCAAAGGCCTTTAAAGCCTTAAGGCAACTTCTAATTATTCACTTTCTCCACCGAGTTCTCGCGACGGGAATGCTTGTGATTTGAAATTTTCTTATCCGTTAGACATTCTCTCTTTTCTTTTTCTTTTTATTGAAAGATACACTCGTTCTCTCTCTCTCTTTCTTTCTTTCTTTCTCTTTCTGTCCCTGATTGAATAACAAATATAATCGAATAAAAAAGTAAGAAAACATGTAATCATTTCGTTTGACGGGGTTACGTAAAACTTCAGAGATCTTCCATCATTTTAGATATCGATAATGTAAAAGGGATTAAAAGAAAAAAAAAATAGAAAATATAATACATATGCGGCAGCAGGCCACGGTTATCCTCACTTTCACGATAATGAGAAAATTGCGAAACTCGAGATCGATTTTACAACACGATCTCTTCGATCACGGAGCCAACGATAACTCCCGAGGCATCGATAGGAGTTAACGATCGGAAGCGACCTATAGATGTGCTTACCTACTATTCTAAGATAATTGGAGTGAATAGTTCTAAACGATAGAGTTAAATGAAATAACGAACCTTTGTCCGGTTTAGAGGATTCGAAAAGTCCCAGCCAGGTGCTACGAACAGATATCCACATTTTGAAATCTTTCTTGTTGCCTGAAACAAAAATAAATTCAAACTCATTTGATTATATTTGATTGATAACACATTTAGAAAATATATATATAGAAGAGTGCGTGGATAAAAAAAATAAAAAGAGAGATAAAAAGAAATAAAAGTGATTCGCTGATGGATCCAAGTATATGTTCGCCCAACTTTCGCTCGTTACGAAAGAGAAAAAGAAAGAGAAAAGAGAAGAATCGAGAAGAGCTGTCGCGTCCGTCGTTTCAAGTTTTTCTCGTGTCGAAGAACATGACGGAATAAAGTAGTGAAATTAAATACGTAGGACCGATCATTTCGTTCGTGCGAACATTGTTCAATCTGGTCTGGTCTGGTCTGGTCGTTCGTGTCTCCTCTTGATGGATCCACTTACGCACACCCACGTGTAAAACTGAACTCGTACCTTCGAAACGAGTTTTTTTTTTTCTACTGTTCCTTGTGTATTATGTATATATGTTTTGTAAAGAACAAAATTGTAAGATGGAAATTGAGCCGAATCGAGTTTCATTTTAAACTCTCTAGGAAATAAATCTATATGAAAATAAATGGCAAATTAGTTTCTATGTCAATGTTTCGCTGCTCGCACGCAGAGACAGGCAAGTACACACAAACGTAGATACGCACGACTTGAGGGAAAACGTTTGTCCTAATCGAGACGACCCATATAAAAAGAAAGTATGCGCGTAAAACTCTTGTCAACGTGGACATTTTGTTAGGAAAATGACTCGTTCGACAACGAACAGAAGGAGAAGCGTGCTCCGATTTGAAAAAGAGAGTTGTTCTCGTGTAATCTCGAAAAATCGTCTTTCACGGTTCGCTTATTGCGTTAATCGTGTTCGATCTCGAATAATAGAAAAAGAAAAGAAAATTACGGAGACGAAAGAATGGATGAAGAAAGTAGAAAACTAAAAAGACAAAAGTGACATTGGAAAGTCCCAATCGATATCTATAAATCCGTATTGCATTCCCGCGATATTATGGAAAATGTTATCATTTTAAATGACCGATCGATGTATATATATACATATATATATATATACGTATACATTTAGTATGTAGCATCGTTAGACGAGGGTACGCTCTGTTTAACCGCTTTCCATCCGGTTTCCGATGATTTCCTGTCATTCCACCACGCTAACAATTAACTTCCGCTGGTTAAAGCGACCGCACGTATGCGCAAACCTCTACCTCTATAAACAAGTATCCCCCTCTACATATACACACTCAAAACTCTCCGACAGAAAATTTATTTTTTACAGAGTTAACTAAATATAAATTGAATAAAAAAAAAAAGTGCAAAATTCGCGACCATAGTGTTTCCTCGTGATCATCCTTGACACGATTAGAGAATAGTCCTTGCCAATCCTTAAACTTCGATCCGCGACCCAGATTTGTCGGATAGTCGTTTATAATTTCTAATAAGGCTGATAAGGCGTTCTCTTGTTATTTCGTAGGTGTACACGCATGCATGCACGCACGCACGCACGTGCACCCGCAAAAGGAACAACGAAGAAAAACGAGGAACGAGTTGGCGTTTATTAAGGCAATTAAAGGTCTACCTTCGTCGACGAATCAACTCGTTAGCCAATCAGAACACGTCGACGTGGGCGATGCCCGGCCAATGGACGAATACCGTTAAACGTGTTAATTCCTTTTCCACGCGCATAGATTTTAAATTGTTATTACGTACTCCAAACAGGGTATAAACTTATCCAAAAGTATGCTAACTATCCGACTTGTTCATAAAAGATGAAAGAACGTCTTGTAAATATTGTTATGAAATAATTAAACGGACGCGGATTAATTATAAATTAAATCCAAAATATTATTCAAACATTTTTTACATGTTAGCCAAATATATGACCTATTTACGAGACAACACTACAAAGTTGCTAAGATAGTATCAGGGATTTTACTCTCTTGAAATCCCACGCGTTTCGTTCGTCCTCTGCATATATCCCACATCCGGTATCCGTATTCAAAGTCCCTGCAACTCTAAACTGCAAACCTGTCTCACAGCTAAAGTTAACGACGTTATCGTGCCGTGAAATCAGTCAACGAGTGGATTAACGCTTCTTCGATAGAAAACAGAACGCGTTCTCCTACCTTTTGCATTTCTTCTCGAATCTCGGCATATTTAGCCTCTTGCTTATTACAACTGAATATACACACCTGTGTATTTCGATTTAATCATATAATCATAGCGATCTTGTGATACGATTCATTAAATACTATAATTGCACTTTTCTCGCGATCGTTTTCTCGATCCAATTGGAAATAACAGAGAGAAAGAGAGAAAAAGAAAGAAAGAGAGAGAGACAGAGATAGAGAAATAAGTGGGACACGTTAATAAGCCTCGTTACGTTCATAGTATCGCCTTGACCCAATAACAACAACAATTTAGCGAGATCTCTTGCTCGTATATAACGCGAATATTATTATAATAGAAGAGGCTGAAAAGATAAAGAAAGAGAGAAAAAGACTGAACGAAATAATATGGGAAGAGAGGTTAATAGATAAGACGATATTTTATCGAAGAAAAATGTTGTTCACAATTCGCAAACGCTCGGCAAATGCTCGTACGATGCATATAAATTATCGTTTGCGAGTCACAGTTATGTCAGAAGCAAACTACGTTCTCCCTTCTCTCGGGGAGCCCTCGCATGTCCTCTTCTTCTTCTTCTTCCTCCTCCGTTACGTTATGCCGCGATTATTACCTCTCGAGCGTTTCGCAATGGCGATGCAGCTGTACACACAAACGCGTATAAACATAAGAGCCACGACTATAGGTAAGATATTCCAAAAGAATTACTCAAGAGAGAAGAGAGATCGTTGGAGGTCGTAGACGTGGGATCGAACAAGTTGTTTTGCTGTCGCTTGAGAGAAACAGAGAGAAAAAGACAGAGAAAGGGGGAAGGGGGGAGGAAGAGAGAGAGAGAGAGAGAGAGAAAGATTATTTCCAAGTGTACGTAGCGTACCAAATCAGCCGAAGACATTTGTCGGCCATTTTTCTTGCCACGCAAATCGCTAACAAGCCTCCGCGGACTACGAGTGAAAGAAAGAGAGAGAGAGAAAGAATCGTGTGCTTACGGAGAATAAAAATGAGATGGGAACGGAACGGAACGGAACGCCGCCTTGCATGCTGCGAGCACCTACGGATTACAAAACTATCCTCTCTAACGTTTAAATTCCCTTGGAAATCGATGCTCGTTATCGCACCTCAGCGAGCTTTAACGTTTTCTCTTCTTCTTCCTTTATTGTAACCTTAGCGTTCAACTTACAATATAGTTACTTACGCGTTTTTCGCGACGCGCGAATGCTCCGGGAAAACGCTACATTGCCGTATTTATTTTCTTATCATCTTATCCTTCATAAAAATAAAATAAAAAAAGAAGAGAATAACAACACTCGAACGAAAACAGCCGTTTCTTTATCGTTCACGCATTGTATTCGTGGAAAACATATTATTACGACGCGACCACGTTAACAGCTAACTTCAATGCAATGCGTTTTCTTTTTTTTTCTTTTTTCATTTTAAGGTCAAACGTTTTCTCTCTCGCACGCGCGGCGCTCTGAATCAGCACAATTTTCTTATTTTATTTATTTCCTCTGTTAAATATCCGTGTGTCGCAAAAATTCCTTCCACGAATCGTAAACCCGTAGTAAAAAAAACGTACGCGTACGTCACTCACGTGTTATCATTTCCGCTGTTAGAGAAGAATTGAACTTAAAAAAAGAAAAATATCGGAGTAATCTCCAACGTATGTATTTTTTTCGATTCGACTTGTGGTGTACTCTCAAGGACGCATCTCGTTGATTATACTATTAACTATTTTCGAATCGGATAAAAAGAAAAAAGCAAATGATGTAATCAAATACGATTGGAATGATACGTCTATGTGTGTGTGTGTTGTATATACGTGCGAATGTAAATACAAAGATAAATAAATATATTATAGGTAGAAAAATAAGTCGGTAAATATAGGTGATCATGCTAGCAGGTAAAACTACGTTGTGATGCGCACTTGTCGGGAATGATTGGCTTCCTCCACGCTTCGTGCTTGCCCAGAGCAATAAAACAGGTAAATAATACTTACTTACATATATAATATTGAAGGGAAAAAGCGAACCACGTTTCGAGTCGTTCTGTGTTTTATCTCTTCCTCTGTCTCTCTCTCTCTCTCTCTCACATCCATTCTTGCCAAATTGCAATATCATTATCAATTCGTGAAATGGTCTACCTCTGGGAAAGTAAACAGCAGAATACCGTGGAATCTCGAAAATCGAAAGTTTGCAAAAAAGAGAGAGAGAGAGACAAAGTTTCTCTTTGACTTTTGTAAAACGAATTGCGAATAACAATGATCTTTGCGATGACGAGGAAAGAGTATGGTGAAAAGAATTGACATTGAGTGGTATCCTACATATGTACATGACTTTCTTCGACACTATCTTCTACCGACAAAGCCTAAGTTTTCGATTTCACGGGCGAGCGTGAATAGAAATTCCAATTCGTATTCGTTGTACGCGTGGTTTCTTTCCTCTCGTTCGAGGATTGCGCGCAACTCGAACTTCTCCATAGGATCCCATTCGAAAGTTAATTTGAATCGTGACTCGACCATAAATGAAAACGCGTCTGTCTCGTAACGATTACGCATTTCGTCTATATTATATTTCGGGGAACATTCTCTCATCAAATTCGACAATTTTTAGCCTACCTCCGTCCCTTGGTTCCCCTTTTCAACTGCGATTCATCGCAAAAGTATTCAAATCTACTTATTATGCGGAAGTAAGCAAGTTTATAATACGTTCGACCCACTTTTCATTTATTTATCTCTCTCTCTCTCTCTCTCTCTTTTTCTTGTATTATTTCAAATTGACGACTACGGTATGCATTTACCGATATTACAACCGAAACCGTTACGAAGCCGATATCCCAACGTTTCTTTATCGTTTTTCATCTCTTTTGCAAGATCGTTGATCGAAGACCGTTATTTTCT